CATGGAATCTTTCCATGAGTATCCTGGCACGTTCTGGAGCATTATCAACCTTCTAGAATGAAGGAGAGAATACTGAGACTCTACGAACTCCTTTTTCCCTATAGATCGTTTTAAACCACAAATGTAATCTTTACTCATCCATCCATCAGAAGGTTCCATAGAAAGTTTTTAAGAAATTAATACGCTCAGTATATTACGACAAAAAAAGAGCGTCTAAAAGTAGACGGTTTTTAGTGGACGGTTTTTTCGCCACATCTTAGTATGCTTTTTTTACTGGACGTTTTCTGGTGGACGCTTTTTTGTGGGCGAATTTTTCTTATGTTTTTAGTTACATGAAACAACGAAATTTGAAGGTTAGTTCTCAACGAGGTAGTAAATATCTTAAAAGAATTCGGGCCCATGACTCTCGAAGACAAATGCTAATATTTAAAAACCGAAAATTGCAATCTCAGACAACCAAATATACTATTAATCGCTACGGCGAAAAAAACCAAATCAAAGATTTGTTGCATAGCTCTAAAATAAGGAAATCCAGTTTTTCAGAAATTCTAAAAATTAACCAAAACTCTTCTTAATCAGACGTGATTGTGGCCTGCAAATTTCTGATTAAAATGAGACGTCTCCCACCTCTACACAACCTTTCTCTGCAAAGTTATAGACTTTACAAGAAAAGCCCTAAATATTTATTGTCAGCTCAAAGCTCCAGAAATAAGAAATTAATTTAGACCTTTTCTTGTAGAGTCTATAACTTTGCAGAGAAAGGTTGTGTAGAGGTGGGAGACGTCTCATTTTAATCAGAAATTTGCAGGCCACAATCATGCCTGATTAAGAAGAGGTTTTGATTAATTTTTAGAATTTCTGAAAAACTGGTTTTACAGAAAACCGGATCTTCAAGAGTCTCGGGTCCGAATCCTTTTAGGATATTTACTACCTCGCTGAGGACTATCGCTCCATGTACAAAGCATTTGAATCAGAAGTGGGCATCTTGGGAGGTTCCCTCGTCAGTTTTGACCGCACTCTTCTTTGGAAGCACGCCTGATCTGCTGGATCGACCCATTATAGCAAAAAAATCAGTCGTTTCTGAGATAAGCTAGTGCGGTGAAACGATTCATCTATGTCGCATGCTCTATGCTTATCACTTAACGTTTCTATTTTGGATGAATTTTTGTGCATTCATTTGTTGTCGACACTTTTTTTAGTATATTTTTTCGTGGACGTTTTCTAGTGGGCGTTTTAAATGCTTTTTTTCTTGCCGTGTATACAAAGTACGATGTGTCTTGTTGACTATTCAGCTGGGGTATGAACTTGAAAATAGTTTTGTATTCATGCACAGATTATACAGTATTAATGTCATCTCAATCCTAATTACGGATGACTTCTCCGAACTTTCATACTGTGTATTTTTACCATTGAGTCAATGAATGACAGTATCAACTATCACCCGTTTCAGTCGCTAATAATTTACTATTCCTTATTCGCACATACAGTAATAATTTTTTTCTTATAATCGCCTAGTTGAAAAAACTTATCATAACACTGTTAATACTCAGTGATGAAAAGTGATATGACAAATAGATCATACTTCATGCTTAGTGTGCATCTTGTGTCAAAGATGACTCTTTCTAATTGCAACAAATCACCTATTATTTTTTAGCAATCCTTTTTTATATTTTAGATTTATAGTCAACTAATTTATATTAGAATAAATGCCGTGGTTTTTTCCATTACCGGCGTTGAAATTATTCAATACTCAGGCAATCAAAGGTATGATCTACGATTTTGTTACTGAGTATGAAACACCAAAAATTGTCACTATTCATTCGTTAAAATTTACACTTTTATTACGTATTACACAAGTTGTCATTTTACTCTATGGTGTTCTCTATATGCTTATCTATGACAAAGGCTATCAGAAAAAAGACGCTACTATTATTTCGTCTGTAACAATAAAAGTAAAAGGTATTGGCTATTCACGATCAGCGAAAAATGAACTAGTGATCATCGATGGAGCCGATTACGTCATACCAGCACTCGAAAATTCAGCTATCTTTATAATGACTAGTTTTGTACGTACAGATCAAGAACGTTCGAAATGTGAAGAATCAAAAGGTCTCAAAGAAGCACGTTGTTCATCAGATGAATATTGTCAAACAAGAAATCGTTCACCAAATGCTAATGGACGATGGACAGGAAAATGTTTAATTAAGTCAAATGCTACCGAGGGTTTTTGTGAAATGGATGGGTGGTGCCCAGTAGAGGATGATCTTATTCCGTCAGAAACCGTAGAAGATGCACTAAATTTTACAATATTTTTAAAAAATTTCATTGAATTTCCGGAATTTAATGTCATACGTAAAAATATTCGTGATGATATGAAACCGTGTGTTTATGATGAGAAACACGATAAAACTTGTCCAATATTTCGTCTATCAAAAATTATGGACGCAGTTGAAAATGAAGCGGATGAGCGTGCCAAGATGTTAAAACTTGGTGGTGTAATTAAAATTAAACTTGATTGGGATTGTAACTTCGATTTTCATGTTAAACGATGTGCACCTGTCTACTCTTTTGGGCGATTAGATACCAAATTTAGAGATGAAAAATTTTCAAAAGGATTCAATTTTAGGTATGTTGATAAATCACGAAATAATAGTGTACTCCGTTTGTGGAATCTAATGAAACCAAAAGTAAGATCTGAAATGAGTCAAATTGTCTGAAAACAATACTTGAAATATGTGTCACGTTGAGATCAAGAAATGTTGAATACAATCAGGTACTGATGTAATTTCTTAGTACAAAACGTACGAAGCATACTATAAACCATATGGATATTCTTTTCATCCAAAATCTAAAGAAGAGAAAATGATCAGAGCCTGATTTTTATAGAAGATGCAGATAGATGCAGCGTTACTCGAATATTAATCGTCTAAAATGAATTGAGAATATTCAGATGCTTCTCGTCGAAATTGAATTTTGACAAGCTTAAGATAAAAAATGCTATTTTTCTAAAGTATGATGAAAAGTATGCCTTTCGAAATACGGTAGTATTATTATTACATACTAACCGTGATAATCTAGGATAAGTAAAAGCGGTATTGAGGAAGGATTTCCTTAGAAGAAATTTTCTATAGTTTACAGTCAATTTTAGTTAAACTTGCAAAAGTTGTAGACGGGTTTGAGAATACGTTGTGATAAAACTTTTAGTGCAAATTGCTGACTTATTCAAAGATTATAGACCTCGCAAAAGCGAAATGGAGCTGTTTTTAAAACAAATATTTCTCATGATGGACGATAACTGCAGAACTGGGGCTAGTTTCAAATGTGTCCATACACTTGAGTCATCCAAGGCGTTTTTCGAATCTGTTTCTATTCCTTTCTGACACACATTTTAACCTTGAAATGTGGAAAAAGATCATCGTGCTCTCTTCAATAAAGTATAAGTTCTCGGTAACGAAAGCAAATTTGGAGAAACCCATCGGTTAATTTCTTCATTTATAAACGTAAAAAAGTTTAGTAGGTTCTTCCTTGCATTAATTTCGCTGATCGGGAATTATATGTAGAGTTTACTCATCTGACATATCAAATAAAGTTCAAGTTCAAGTTCTGACATCAAACTCGATACTGTAAAAAATTGCATGGCATAAGAGAACTAACTGTCATATTCAAAGAAAAGGCGAGATAAAACTAACCAAGGAATACTATGGTACTGTAAAGTACACTGGACTTTGTAGAGCAGCTCTAGAATCGTGCGATATGCTTAAAGCAATTAGATATAGAAATGATCCATCATTTTAAAAATCTGTGATAAAATATTTAAGAGAACAAATTCATCAAACTTTATTTCAGTGTCTGAAAAACTGAGAACAAAAATGCCCGATTTTTTCAGAACAGTACACTCGTACTATTTTTGAGACTTAAGCGAAGTAATTAGTGTTCAGATGGAAAAAAGTATTTTATCCTGTGAAAATAAGATAGTCATCTCGTACAAAAAGCAAGCATCTCACAGTAAAACGAGAGAAAAAAGTAAGATATATATCCTAATAAGATGCATAATATAAATCGCTTAGATTGGTTTCTCATAATTTACTATATTTTTCTCAGTTTCTACGAATAGTTCGAATGAAACTGTCATTGAGTATCAAAATTCTATCATGACTAATGGAAATCGTTATAAAAACTATAATTGAATCGCAGTTTTTCAGCTCAATAATCCTGTCATGGATAAGGCAGACAATTGAATAAATAGTAGATTCTGTTAGAATAACTTGGTAAATAATTGCTTCGGTATGTGACTGTCTATTTCCAGGTAGAATTATAAATCAAAGTTAACGAACTCAATCTTCGTTAATTATCTTTTGTTTTTTTTGGCTACTTGGAAGACTTACTGACTACAATAGTCATCTACTGATCTATCCGTCAAAAACTAGTAACCATCCCCGTTTTTTCTCATAACTTTGTCCAGCGCATGAAGCTGTATATACCCTGAAGTGTTTTCGATGACCAGACTTGTAATTGCTGAGAAAATAATTTTTTACGTATATCATACGATTAATTCTCTATTTAAAAATTTATAAAAAATTCAAAATTAAAGTTGGAACTCTTATTGTTACGCAGTTCGACAGCGCACATTAAGTGATTAAGAGATTTGGACCCATGCGGCTTCCTTCCCGAGCTACGCAATCGTAACTTAGTGAAATTTCCGTTTTTGGTATTTTCACTGTAAAGCACTATTCGAATGGGTTAAAGAGCTGAAACTCGCAGCAATATTAGTCCTAAGCAAAGCCCGTATGCTGCGAAATTTTCTGACCTTGGTCTTATGTCCTTTGTGAGAAATCTAATTTTCTGCTTTTCATAGGGCTTCTGTACCACCTTGCGACCTGAATATAAAATAATTGTCCTTCTCGCTTTCAAGTTGGCTTTGGTACTCATAAGTTGATCAAATCGTTTATTATCTTTATTAGAGTACTGTTTAAGTGTTTGCGCTATTGAATTACACGATTAAGTGTTTTTTCATATTTAGGTCGCAAGGTGGTGCAGAAACCCTATGAAAAGCAGAAAATT